GCCCTGTAAGTTTTATTGCCCATTAAAGAAGCTTAATGACAAGTATAAAATTCTGCTCTTCAGAGTCATATTTCTGTATTGCAAATAGCTGTTGTGCATACTTTTAACAATTGTCTATAAAACTTTTTAGAAAACTTTAAAATTTCATTTAAGTCACTGACTTATCACCACACCTGAAGCTTGAATTTTGGTTCTGTGTTTAATCTACGTGGAGCCTACACTGTGGGCTATGTAAGTGGCCTACACCATTGTGAGCATTGCATTTATGCTTGCGTGCTGGTGTGTCTGTATTGCCCTACAATTACACTGCCAAAACGCTAGTTCGAGGTTGTGTGTCTGTGTCACTGCGTTGCATTTCTTCACCACTTAGAAACAATGGTGACTGAACTGAGCAGGTCATGTTGGAGTTAAAACTAATAGATGTTGAACAGCAGTTACTTTTACTGAAATTACTGCAACAGAGATAAAAGAGAAGACATCAGAGGAAATGGTCTGAACAACCACTGAACCAAGTGAGGCAGAATGAGGGGGAATTTTCCCTGCTTGTCTGGCCACTGACAGACACAAAAAAGAAAATGTGATGCAACCAATCACAATCGTTGTCGCTTCCGTTGCTGCGATGTGCAGTTGCACTTCTGGAGAGGTGCACGTCAGGCTATGGCGTAGGGTACAAGGCTACACATTATCTACGCCGAACCATAAATCAAGCTTAAGGGTGAAGCAAGTTGGTTACATGACATTAAAACAAGCATTAAGTTTCAGCCACTGTGACTCATTTGTCAAAGTGCACATCTGGACATCTGTATTTTGTCAGCAAAAAAGAGAGAGAGAGAGATTTTTGTTAGAGGAGACAGCTTTTATTGCCCTTCCCAAGAAAAATCATTCATGTTAGAGCAATATTGATAACTGCTGTGGCCAGAATTGAAACAGGAAGTACTGTGTATGAAAGGGGATTCTTCATTTTAAAACCCTCCCCCATGGAAGTTGATGTGCTCTTGTGTTTGTGTGTGTGAGAGTGGGTGTCTAATTCTATGGCTGTGGGGGACAGAAAACCAGGAGTACACTAGCCTCACAGGAAATGCATCACTGGTGGGTCGCAGAGGCTGGTCGCGACATAGTTTGTCAAATTTAATTTTTTTATTAACCTTTATTTACCCAGGACATAATTTGCCCCATTGGGACCTAAGATCTCTTTTACAAGGGGGTCCTGGTTAGAACAAGTGTCAGCTTTGGTTAAGTGTTAGAGTAAGAGTTAGGGTTTGGCAAGTCGCGGTTAAGGTTAGGGTAAGTTTTCTAGAAATGAATGTAACTTTATATAGGGACCCAGTAAGTGACAAAAACATACCGTAGATGTTTGTGTGGGTGAGCATTTGTTGTCAGCATTTTTCTCACATCATGACCTCAATTATGTTCTTCTTCCCTTCGTCTGACAGCAGACTTGTATTTTTGTTTTAGAAATTTTGCTTGAACATCACAGACTGTGTTGTTTGATACAGTATGTGAAAATGTCAGCACAGTCACAGTCATGCGGTCTAAAGGCACTTTTCGCTGACCGTGTCATCAAGCTATATGTTGCTGTACAATGCAGTCGTTCCTATATATGAAATGATGGGGATTTTCTGGCAGCTGCCTCATGATCATCAGTGACTAGATGCACACACTGCAGAGGATTTGTGTCTGTTTATCAGCAGCTCCAGTTTAGGCTCATCCCTGTCAGGCCAGTGAAATGCGAAAGTCATTACGCTCTCTCAGCTGGCACACACCTCTCATTATGACATTTAAGTGACCGTACAGTGCTTAATTAGCCCCAGGCAATGATACGCTGCATATTTTACCAAATTCTACCAGTATATTGCATGTGTATGAATATATTTATGTGTATGCATAGAACTAGAGAGACATTATTTGGCTTTACCAAAGTCAATCAGCCGATATGAGCTCAGCCAAGCAGATGCGCCCATTCAACTCTATGGAGCTGTCTAATGCTCTCAATGATTTCCGACAGTACATGTTCAGACAGTACAATTCAGCTGGGTTGTGTCAAACCCAAAACAGGCCAGCTCATTGTGTCTGCAGATAATTAGCACTTTCATGGAGTGATCACAAATCTGGATGTCTGAGTAGAACTGCTCATCCTTCAAAGTGAATCAGCTGATTGCGCCAATTTGCTGCTGTCACACTAACCCACTGGTGTTTTGTAAAGATTAGTAAGGAGCTACCACTGAACCTTTTGTGAAGAAAGATTGTAACCTATCTGATGGAAGAAATTGCTCAAAATGTCCCGTTGCCAAACATTGCATATAGAACACTCATCTATGAAAAGATTAACAGTGGTAGGTTGGCTTACTACGTGTATACCACCATACAGTACCATCATAGGTTAAGTGTATGCCATTTGTTTAAAGAAATGTTATTAACTTTAGTAATTAATCTCTTAAAAGAATTTTTGGAAAGCCAGAACTTCACCAACCCTGACCTCAAAATCCGAGATGGCTGCTCTGTGCATCAGCAGTAAAAAGCTGTAGTGATATACTCCTTATTAGCACTTATGTCTTAATTGTGTCTCACTGAAACAGTCGTACACACAGCGCTGTCCAGCTTCTATCTGTGAACATGTTGCAACATTGTTTGTATGTGTAAAATACCACAGAATACAGGTATTGCTAACAATGGCTAACATGGCTCGGCGTTAATAATGGAGTACCAGTTACATCTGAAATAAATATCCTCCACTTCCCAGTTGTAAGTGCTTCCAGAGAAGATGGGGGAATATTCAGATACTGTCATAATCTGTATGTTGAAGCTTGTAACCTTGATGGTTTATTGGATTATTTAGATTTTATTGGATTTCTTGTTTTATTGCCTTATCACCTCAGCTACACAATCCTCTAAAAAACCTCGAAAGGTGTTTCTGCAATTTTTGCTTTTTCATGTGTAAATAAGATGAATGAATGAGCATAATATTAGAAGGTAGTAGCATAGGTAATCACTCAAAAAATAAATGACTTATGTAGTAGGCAAAACTGAAAATTGCATGTATGGTAGTATTTATTACAGGGCAGGTGTATTAAATAGGTGTTGGTGTTTCTCAGTTCACTGGAGTATATACAGTGTTTACCTGTCAGCAGTTGTTAGGCATCGGATTGAAGGTTGAAAAAGAAATCCAAGGGGTGGGTGACATTTTCTGTGCAACAAACAAATTGGTTGGTCATCGTATTAAAACATAATTAATGTGTACATACTTGCTGTGTTTGTGCTCTCATGTTGCCTCACATATCAAGCTCTCTGTCAATAATTCAAGAGAGCAAAATGTTCTTTGTGCTTGGGTACAGTTCACTGGGTGGTGTTGTTTTCATACGTTATACAGTACTAATTTGGGTGGCACTAGTATGAACCAATTTGCTTATTGTCTATCGGATCACTGTTTTTGCTCAAGTATTATTATGCAGAAGGTTGAAAAAGTACAGACAAATTAGTGGTAGAGGATGTTTTCAGATAATTGGTTATATTATACAATTAAAAAAATACTCCATTATAAGTAAAAGTTATGCATTCAAAATTTTACCTAAGTAAAAGTACAAGTATAAAAGTACAAGTACAAAGTATAAGAAGCAAACTGTATTTAGGAAAAAAGTTAAAAGTACTCTGAAAAGCCTCTGTCATTGTTATTATAATGGAACATTATTGCTGATGTTTTAATTGGTTGAGCTGGAGCAAATGTTGAGTTTACAAAGTGTGTACAAACGGCTTCATACAGTGTTAAGTAGTTTAATGTGTGAGAATGCATCAGATTTTATGAACTGTTCATATGTTTTATAGACTTCATAAAATCTTGGTGGAGTAAAAAGTATAACATTTCAGGTAATAAAGTATTGGAGTACAAGTACTGTGTAAAATAGCGTACTAGAAATACTCAAGTATGGTTCAAGTACAGTAAATTAGATTCAAATTCATTACTTGAGTAGATGTACTTTTATTAGTTACTTTACAGCACTATGACTGTATTGTAACTTAGAACTGTCCTTGGTGAGCCAGATACTCATTATATGGTGTAAATTAGCCACCTTTTGTACTGTAAGCTGATTAAAAACACTGTTTTTCAGGCATTAGCTCAGGTGCACAAAATTGCTGTAATTTTGTCAAAAAAAAGAAAAACTTCATGGACTCACAGATGCCTTTGCTTCGCAGTGCTGACTTCTTCACCGTTTGGTGGGCAGAGGATTGTTCAGCTAGCCAACAGAATTAACTGCTTTCAAATGTTTTATTTCAGGGATGGCAGAGCTTTGGCACTTAAGCTACTTGATGTGCAGCTGGCCCTTCACTGTTCTCTAAATGGCTTTCACACACTGCTGAAACGCAGAGATAATGTTGTTAGCATTTCTCCCCTATTTAGTTTGCATGTCAATGAATAGAAGTGCCAGGTTGCTAAAGGAGTGCTCATTATCACAATGCATTTATTTGTTTGCTTTTTTGAAGGGAAATTTTTGGTATCCTCACTGTTTGTCACATTTTATACTTATTTCATGGCATCTGGGACTCATAAACAATAACATTTGCTCACCATTGCACACTGGGGTTCAGTCCTCTGCAGCAGCGCCTCTGGCCAGATGCTTTAATGAATCCATTTGGCAGTGCAGGTGGATGCTGGCAAAGGATCATTTTCTGGCCACTACTGCTGGTCATCTGTTATGCTCTCTGTGGTGTAATACAGTACTTAATGTAATTCTTAATTAATGGGATGAATTGTTTTAAAGGGTGGTGTCAGATATATCATTATTACACAGAAGATTTTGTTAAAGGTAGTGTTGGCAGTCCTGGAAAAACTGGCAAGAGGAAGCTCAATTTAGCCAACTGAAGAAATCCCACCCTTTCATTCTGACTTCTTTCCAAAGCCACTCCTCCAAAACACAACGCACACAGCAACACACTGCCTGACTACTACTACTTATAGATTTCAGGAAAATTTCTCATTTGATCTCCTGTGACTTCCCCTCTTGTAGTCTCGGGAGCCTCTGGCACTGTGTGACCTGAAAGCAGAAGTATCCCCCAGGACCTCGGCTGAGGATTTAATTGACCTCTGTGAGCTGTCATTGACTGGGCCTACCAAGAGGACCAAAGCTGGCAAGCCCAAAATCATTGCTGTCGACATCCGCAGTGTTGAGGAGTATCCTTACGATTTCTGTGTAGTTACACTCATTAACACCACTGCACTGCTCTTGAGCAAGGCGTTAAGCCTAACTGCTCCACTGAACCTGCTCAGTGGCCACGGGTCTGTCTGTGGTTGTACTGGGCAACTTTCAGGTGTGAATGTGTAACTGAATGTGAAGAATAAGAGAACCTGCGAAGGTTAAAAAGTTAGCTCGACACAGATGCTACTTTAACACCTATACACATTACTTCATTTTTCTCTACTGAGGCATGTCAAGGAATGGTGCACACAAACTGGGCAACCACAAAGCCAAAACAACAAATGCTCTTCTGACATTTGTTTTGACACTATTGACACAAATTGTATTGGCAGTTGGAGATAAGACTTCTTTGAGTCAGCAAACCTGTTTCAATTTCAAGATTTCTATTTATTTTATTTCTTTATTTACTGTTATTTCAGTTATGGGTTAATTCTGGTGGGGGGGGGGGGGGCCCTTT